AACACAAATCGTTCATGCAGGCACAATAATTTCTTATAAATATCACTTCACAGCTAAACGTTCGGGCGCCATTTTTAACACTACAAGTCCGACTGGCGGGACTTTTGTGAATTTTCGTGAGTTCGTTGTTCCGGGCTGTTGGCGAAGATGATATAGAAATAATGTTTACACTGATTTGGTATGAGGTTTTAATATAAAAGCGACACAATGACTAACATGAAATACAAAATGAGTTGAGAATCGTACAGTTAAACTAAGACTCGCAATATTTTACTGGTCGTCGTCGCGCGCGCTGAGGGCGTGTGTTTTCGCGCTCAGAGAGCTCTGTCTCAGCGGGCGGTAAGGCGGCGGCGGGGGCGGTATCGCACGTTCGGAAATTACGTTCCGTTATATTAGCTATTTCAACTAAAGACTTATTCCTAATTTCATAGCCTTCTATTAAGTACTATTTTTAATATTAAGGGATCATATCTCTTATAAGGATTTGCACTCTTTGATACGTACACGCGAGGCACATCTAAAAATAGAAAACAACGCGTAACTGATAATATAAATATTTGCCAAACAATAAAATAACACTGCATTGATAATTTTGAATAAAAGTTGTAGACAAAAACATCATGAATAAACCAGATTCTTACCAACAAATATTGTTATAGCTACATAGACAACCCTACAAACCTGTACCTATTTATACTTAGGTCGTTTCCGTTTCATTTATTCTCATCCCAATTGACCCCTTTTTCGTTGTTATTTGTACCTGAGACATCCCCAATATCCCCAAAAACAACAGATTTTTACATGTATTTTTATTTTATCAAATACATTAAAAACAATAACAACTGAGACTTATCTTTAATATATATATGATGGTTTAAACACTAAATAACGTTTATAAATCACAGTCGTCTTCTATTATTATCAAATAAATAAAAGAGAGCAAAGTTTCTAGCACTAAAATAATTACTACCACAGGAAGTTCAATTGATACGCGATTTTTTATAAGTTAGCAGCTATTATCATGCAAATTCAGAGTTGTTTTGTAAACTTTCAACATTCTACTATTAAACAACAAAAAATGGAAGAATTTGCAACGAATATAAAACTAATATTGAGCGTCGAAAGATTTTCCTGGTTTTTTTCCCAATCACCTCGCGATCTCTAATCGCCCCATTTTACGGTACCTATGAGAAAGGATCGAAATTATTTGCGATGATTAGGTTGGTTATCGATGAGTTAGTAATAAGGAGGGTAGAGGTAAGAGTCTTTTATGCTATTAAGTTGAAAAAGTTTGAAAGTTTCAAGAGTTCAAAAAAATCCACCAAAATAACGCTAGCGTAGCAATTAGCATAATTAATATGATATCATAAATAGTGTATCCAGTTGGAACAGCGCCCTTAGCGACAAACGCAAGCAAACGTTCCAATTCGGTACAAATTTGAGTTAACTTTAACGCTATCGAGAACGTTAAAAAGCTCGCACTAAGCACACAACTATGTTCCGATTTGCACTGAAGGTGTGACGTCAATTTTGTAAATCGCGAAGCCGTTCCTTTATTGTTAGCTGTATTGGTCATTGTTTAAAACGGAAGGCAGCAGCACAGTATACTGTTATCGACAATTTTTTGGGCGGTATTCAGTTAAAAAAAAGTTTAAATTTACTTAGTTATATTTCAAAATAGAATATTCAAGCTATTTTCGGTTGAATTAATCGCATAATAAAAGTGAGTACATATGTAGGTATACTTTTTAGTAAAAGAAAATATATTGTTTTTCAAGCAATTTAATGCGAAATATTAATTTAATAAAAAATATTATTGGAATGAGGTTCGCCTCCTTGCGTCGATAATCCTCAGTGCTGAGGGTCGTGGCCTCCTCTAATAACTTTCTCCTGCATCATCTTGCGCCATTCCTGCTTATCCCCGGCTGTGTGGATAGCAACGTAGACTGAGGTATTGAGAGTGGAGCGTATTTGGTCCGACCAGCGCATGGAACGAGGTTAAGTACGGTAAAAATGATCACGCGATTAAAGCATCGAGAGCACCTTACTTCGAAAACACCAATGTTCACTGTAGAAAAATGCTGACAGCAGACTTCAGTCTGTTTAAAAATGGCTATATTCGCAAGGAAAGAGAAGTTGAGGAAGATTGCCAACCAGGTGGACGGACATTGTCAAGGAGGCCACAAACACCAGCGTCCTGGGCCCCATTAAGCAGGCCGAATGCAGGCAACATTGGAGGAAGCTATTGCAAAAACTAGACCAAGGTGGTCGTGACCCTCAGTAAATAGGAAGCGACGAAGAAGAAGAATATTCATAGCATTCCTACTTCCTACACTAGCGCTATGTCGGTAAGTCTTCTAACTATAAATTGCTGTTTACAGGCTGTGAACACTTTTTCAACTTGTCCCCTATACAAGATGGCGCTCCTTAGTTCTATCCTCCATGCTTTTAATACAACATCTCTTATCTCACTCAGTCATGCTCCATATCTGTCATTCATTCGTACATTCTGTTCCTACAATACCTTTATATTGTAAGCTCTTTAAAACGACACTGAAAGGACTGTGCAGCTTATGGCGTTATAGAGAGTTGACCAGAGTTGTCGTTAAATGTAGAGAAGAAAAATCAGAATTATAATATAAAAATAAAAAGTTTATTTCTATTTAATCTGACCTTCTTAAAATATAACACCTAATGATCTCTCAACACTAGTCCGCAGCATCTGTTCACGACTTAACCTAACCTAATCTATCTTAAGAAGGAGGGAGCCTGGAGATCAGTAATACAGGTCTTTGAACCTAGTACAGACTTCAGCTCTTTCAAAGGCTTACAAAATAAATTATAAGGTTAATTTATTTCCATTTGAATTTGTACTATNTTCTTAAAATATAACACCTAATGATCTCTCAACACTAGTCCGCAGCATCTGTTCACGACTTAACCTAACCTAATCTATCTTAAGAAGGAGGGAGCCTGGAGATCAGTAATACAGGTCTTTGAACCTAGTACAGACTTCAGCTCTTTCAAAGGCTTACAAAATAAATTATAAGGTTAATTTATTTCCATTTGAATTTGTACTATACCTTTAAGAGAGAAATAAATAAATTATTATTATTATTATTTAACTAAGAACACAAATTTAATAAATCAATTTAATTAAATTTTATAACAACACGATTAAAACAATAGGTATACGCGAAATTAATTAACTGTACAAATCTTTATAAATTTCACAGTACGGTAGGTAATATAATAGTATAACGTGCAAAATGCCCGCGTTATATGGGGTATACCCGTGTTATACGAGGGACTGAAATCGCGTAATATGAAAATCCGTTATAAGAGTACCGTGTTATAAGGTGGATTACTTTATAATATATCACTGCATGGAAGTTAAGCCAACTAAAGCCAAGTGATTTCGACGCTTTAGGTAGGCTTTAGGTTTGTCGTTAAATCGGGTGACGTTACATGGAGTTTACATTGTATATAATATAAAATTTAAATGAAGTTGAATAATTAAAACAATTAAAATGACAATTGGTCCCTCCGGAATCCGGTTACTGCACTTTTGAAGGTCTACCTTTTGGTGCTATCTTTGAAATTACACCAATTCCTACGGTGGCGCCACCCTAATTGGTCGAAGATTTCTTTTTTATACTGTCTTTTATTTAGTGTACCTGAGTGAAATAAGTCTTTTGCATTATATGCTGTTGTAAATATAATTTAGCTTCAATAGTGTAGACGTGCTATTAATAATAGGAATAAAACATTTTTGATTAGCAATTTCTTTATTTTAAATTTTAATAAGTTTAGAAATCGTTCGGAGAGAAGACAATGGTTTCAGCATCATTACTTTTAATATTATGATATGAACAATAATAATTACCGCTATTTTATAATAATACCTCTATTAGTTAATAATGTTGATAACGCGTTATAACTATCTTCTACCTGTATTTACAATAATGCTATCACTTGAAACGTTACAACACAATAACAATTAGAATAATGTGAAATAATTTGTATGTGTTTTGTGTCTCAAAGTTCGTTCCTTAGAATATTGATGATGTAACAAAATACTTGAAGATCAATTTTAACAATCCAAAGTCTTTCTTGTTTAATTTACTAAGTAAAATTATAAGTTAAATAATAGTTTCATTTTTCTTTACATCTTATACAAAAATGTATCAGAATTGAATACGAAAAGAGTTTACGATTAAAATTCATTGGAAGACTTACAGGTTAATTTTCATTTACATGTTGTCTTGAAATGGTTAAAAATTACAGTACTATATATTTGAAGTGGTTTGAGACACACTACAAAAGATAACAATAATAAATTCAATAGAATGGTTGAAGCGATAAGCCGAGATAAAATAACATGTTATTTCCATATCACGTAGTATCTTAATTTTAAAATAGCTGGTATAACGTTATTGAAAACGGCTATTTCTCTTACTGTCAAACAGCCCTATTAATTTACTATTACATGCTATTCATAATGCTTACAATATTGTATAAATAACATCGATATGTATTGTTTTATTTTCTCCTAAAACTGTCTTTGTTAAAAAATGAGACGTTTGTCACGAATACATTCGAAAAAACATTTCGTCATTTTTTTTCCTTTTTAATAAGATGCCTAACAAATTTCATTGTTTTTGGATACACATTTAAGTAGGTCTGAAGTCATTTTCAGGAAATTAACGGTTAACGGTTCTAGGTAACTAATTAACTATATTATGTATGTATTCGATTATCTATAAGTTGTACATTTATTTAATTATTTACACTATAAACTGCAATTATTTACATCGTTGCAAGGATTGTGGTTCCCTCAAAATGTACATTTCACCTTATTCCTACCATTTAACAAAAGGACAATAGAGGAAAGAAAAAACTGAAATAATATTAAAAGCAAGTTTTATTGCTAAAATAAAATACAAGCATAGCCGGAGCGAGGTGCGCGTCGCCGCGTCGGTCGCGCGGCGGGCGCGGCGCCTCGCTCGGCTCCGCGTTTTTTGTACGTTTTCTTATCTATCATTTAAAAGGAAGCCATTTTGAAATTTATAAAAATTAAATAGGTAGATAGTCTTCAAAAACAAAAAGTAAAAAAGTAGAAAATCACAAGTTTGAGCGATCTCGCACGTCAATAGAAAACATGTATGTAATAGATACAATAATATAGACTATAAAACTTTATAATTTAAAAGTAAAAATCTTAAAACCCAATTAATTCATAATATTTTATAACCTCTCCGGGTTCTCTATTAACATAATAATACTTTTCAACTGGGGTTCAGTAGACGATATCTTAAATTTACATCTGATTGCACTTCAAGTTTCAACTAACAATAAAGGAAACTATAACTAAACGGTCTCAGGGAGCTGGTCCTCGCCCCGCCCGCACACTGTCCGCCCGCCCACAGGCCGCCCGCACACCGGCCGCGCCGCAGTTTTGGTATTCAGTGTATTTACAACGAGCAGCGGCTCGACGCGGGCCGCCCGAGGACAACTAACTACGTTAACAAATATTAAAGCAAATGCATCGTTTGTATCTCGAGTTCCGACAGAACGTTACGCGGCTATCTACAGTCTTTGGCCTCACACTCGAACTAACCTACCCCGAGCGGCGCTCAGTACTCCCACCGGTCGTCCTCGGCCTCCGACTTGATCTTGTCGTCGTGCAGCAGGCGCGGCGGCGAGGGCGCGGGGTGCGGGGGGGCCGCCACCAGCGAGGGAGGGGGCGCGAGCGAAGGGGGCGCGGGGGAGGGCTCCACGCGCACCGTCTCCTCGGAGTCGCGCCGGAAGTCGTCGCCGCGCATGACGCAGACGCCGTTGATGATGACTTCATCGGGGTTGCGCGGTTTCTCGTCCTGCCAGTCCGGGTTGACCCACTGCGGCGCCGCAGGCTTCCGTCTGCTGGATCGACCCTGGGGCGTCGAGGAAGCTTTCGGTTCAGTCTTAGATTCGTCGTCTAGCGAGTCCTCGGAGCCGAGGTTGCTCTCGACGTCGTCGTCTTCGAAGTCGTCTCCATCAGGTTCGCGTTTCAACGGCATCGTGAGGTCCAGTCCACCGGCTGTGTCTTTCCCTTCTTCGGGAGCGACGAGCCCACGTCCAATCAGCGCGGCGAGGTTCGAGTTCGCTGCAAAGTACGGAGGATAGGGGAGCGGAACTCCGGCCAGGCCCATCCTCTCCTTCTGTAGTTCCAGCAGTCTCTGATTTAGAAGTAGCCTGAACTGAACGGGGTCGAAAGGTGCCGAGGACTGTTCTCGTGCCGGCGGCTCTGACGGTAGCCCGTGGGGCGCCTGCTGTTTGAGCCTCATACGATGATTGTGGAACCAGTTCGTAATGGTACGGGTGGATAGCCCTAACTCGGCAGCCAGGAATTCTATTGTGGGCATATTGGGATACGGATCAAGGGCAAAAGCTAATCTCAGCGCTTCTTTCTGCTCTTCCGAGAACAAGACTCTTTGTTTCTTAGCACAGGGAGCTCCAGAGTTGGGTCCGGGCGAACTGGAGTGGTAGAACTCAGAGGTGTCGTTGGAGGAGGTGTCGGACGAGTTGTCCTGTCCGGGACCGCTCGACCGCCGCCGTTTGTTCGCTTCGCGTCGTTCGTTCTTGAGCGCCTGAAGGCGGTCGATGTTGTGAGCGTCGCTCAGCCAAAGCTGCATCCGAATGAAGGGCTCCCTACCTTTTATGCTTAACATGTGCCAAGGTTTAGGTTTTGATAATAATTCGCTGACCGATCCCTGCGAGAGGCCGAGAACTGCTTCACCAAATATCTTTTGTCCGATATTATTCGCAAGCAAAGCTTCTTTTATTTTGGTCGTGATGGTCTGCGTGTCGAGATCTTGCGTGAGAGCGGCCATTTCGTATACGCTGGGTGTCATGTGTTGGTGCAGGGTCCGCATCACTGGAGGCTGGTGATGTGGCTGTGGAGGAGGCGGAGGTTTCCTTTCCTTGTTGTTGTTGTCGTGGTGCTGCGGTGGCAGAGTGACGGCGTGGTGAGGAGGGAATCCAGGAGGGGTGAGCAGCAGCGGCGTGGGTTGTCCGAGATGTGCCAGGTGTCCCGGACCCAACAGTTGTTCTTGTTGCATTTTGCTCAGTAGAGACGTGGCGTCTGAGATCATTTTTTGCGTCGGCGGCATCGGTTTGTTCATGTTTGGCGGACAAGCTGAAAATAGAATGCATCGTTTAATTATTATGTATGTGCATATTATGTTCATTAAGGGATTTCATGATTTTCGATGTTTTTGGAATTCACTAATTGTATATCTGTTTTTTTTTTATTAACAATTTTAGTAAATTAGTTTGATGCAGAGACAGCGATGCCAATACTTACGAGGTGCTCCGCTGTAGTTTCCGGTTCTCATCAGTTTCTCGGGTGCAATCTTGTACTGTGACGCAACCAGCTTGTGAACAGCATTATCGTCTTCTAAGAACATCTTCATCCTGATAAATGGCTCCCTTCCCTTTTGCGTAAGCATATGCCAGGGTTTCGGTCTCGCTAACAAATCGCTGACCGATCCTTGAGAGAGACCAAGAACTGACTCCCCAAACAAACGTTGGCTTATGGAGTACTGGCTTAATGCTTCCTTGACCCGTCGGACTATCTCCTCCGTGTTCAAGTTGTTAAAGAGATCAAACTGTTGTTGGGTGATCGGCGGTAGTACAGCTTTCATGGATCTTTGTGGCGGCGGATGGTGCGGGGGATTTGTTGGTTGCGATATTAAGCTATTAGTTATTGAGGCCATTCTCTGCAAGGGGCTTGCCGCTGCTGAGCTAGTAAAGTCCTCGTTGGGCGTGATCGCGGGTGGTAGAATAGCATTCCCTAGTGGGCTGGAAGCAGACGACCCCGTGGACTGCTGTCCGGGCTCTAGCTTAGGTCGGACCAATGAGAACGCACTACCTGCGTGGCGTATCGCCTCTTCGGCATCTAATGGCTTGTCCTTATCACTATCAGTCATTCCGTTCATTTTCATAGTTTTGTCTTTCGGAAGAGACAAATCTTGAATGGCCCCCGAGCCATTCATATGTTGGTTTTGAGCTTGCTGTATTGCCTGTTGCTGCAGGGCGAGCAGGTTCGGAAAGGGCGGCATTCCTGGCAAGTTGTGGAGATTGGGAATGTTGGTCCCCGGCTGGAGCTTAGCCAGCTCCCTGTGGTAGGCCTCGAGCGCCATGCGAATGTCCTCGGGCGGTCTCTCCATGTGTGGAGCCATACCGCTGCTGAAAAAAGGGGGAAGCATGCTATACGTCAGTTTTAGATTTGCTGTTCTCGTCTGAATTACTGTCGCTATTTCAATATAATGTGAATTTAATTGAGCTAATAATAGTGATTTTATTTTTAAATATCTAACGTTTATCACTCAGACATTATTAGTAGCTAAATTGACCGGCGTTAAATTGAAAGTTGAACTTACCCAGGGAAGCTATCTCGGCTGTGGCGCATGTCTTCAACCCGCCTGGTCATGATCTTAGCCAGTTCTTCATGGTAGATGCGCACGACTTTATCCGGAGGAATGTCATCGTTTTCGTACTTCTTAAGTCTTCGGTTTTGACTCGAATCCTGAAAATTTTATTTTTAATTTTTAATACCTTTGTTTGGTTTCAACTCGAGTTCGCGCTCTACCTGATAATAAGTGAAACCTATAGACTTATACATCATAATGTGAATGCCACTGTTAATATTGAATCATAAATTTGAAGTCTGAATTGTTCTGCGTGATGGGTTTACCAGACATATTCTTTTGAAAATTTGAGATCATCTAGGCTGGGTAAGCTGGCCCTCAAGGACTTAGAAGTCTATCTTTCCTATTTTACTCCAAACGCATTTGGCTAGTGAACATGAACTTTTATACTTATAAATCGAAGGCTATTTTGGTTTAAAAAAATACCTTATTTGAAAACGGTGAGAGGCACTGGGTCCTTGGTGAGCTGGAATCCTCATTACTCCTAGAGTCATCATTATTGTGGTGTCCTGTTGGGGTTTTCATAAGGTGTGAAGCTTCGCTGAGCATGTGAGCAAGACGGTCGTCGCCTTCTCCTTCTGATCTACCGAAGCCGGGACCTGGAGTGCCATCTTTCGTCCCTACTGTAAAGAGAGAGAAAACACTGTTAATTTGGTTCTGGAATGTATGGAAAAGCTCTTGAGAGAAGAGTTTAGTCAAAGTTTGAGATGGTATAAAAGAAAGTCAAGTGAATGGAAGTAAATAATTAAAGCCAAATGCGATCAAAATTAGTACGGAAATGCTGAACTCATAGTACTGTCCTTCTTGCATCTAACGTTTCAACAAGTCACGCTCCCGTCAGCAATGAACGTTTTAATTAGAACCGCACATCATCGCATTCTATTAAGATCTAGTAATAACTATACTTAATACTCGTGTACCGCGACACACAAATTTAATTGTCGCTAAAGTCCCTCGCAGAGCCGAGCGAGTTTACATATGCCAACTGACATATTAACGAGTTATTTTAGGCACAATTGATATTAAGAGAGTCGTTTAATTGTGCAGCGAAGGATAATAGCTGAATGGGCCGCTATCGTCGGCTCGGATGCTAATCCAAAACCGGCGCCCGCGCAACCATAAACAAAACGAGTTACGCGCCAAAACCGACCGCCATATTGTCGCCATTTATTCTGTCAACATATTGTCTTCGAGACTCACAATGGAACTATTTAGATCTTGATATACGTTGAATTTGTTTTAATTAAGACGCAAATAATTAGTTTGAGAGCGTTTGTAGCGACCATTATAGGATCGTTCTCGATGCATGACGGGGCTGAGTGGTCGCGATCTTGTGTGAGGTTAATCGGAATTAATGTTGTAGTTCAAAGAGACCCTTGTATTTTTCTTATTTGTTGATGATTTTATGTGCAATGTTAATTTTATAAGGGTCCTAATTAAGTAGTCGTTATAAACAAGTAGGTATGTAAGTAATACGCATAGCATAAAAATACTCTGTTATAGGTAATAAAAATGTCGTCGGTCTTAGCAATAATTCCTGAAATCGTCTGAAAAAACCGCTCTCATTGTTATTTGAGTTCAGCTGTTCTAAATTCAGTTTTTATTTTACTTGTGGTATTTTAATGATCGCAAATAAAGATCGTCTCTCCAGTGTAATCCATTAATTTAAGGATTACAAAGGACTTGCTGGCAATGCTAAGTATAAGTACCTGTTTATGTTTTATTTGGAAACCGACAATTTGGTAGCAACTTTGTGAACGCAATACCATGGTGCCATGCAGAGAAATTTAATTATTATTACGGTTCAATTGTAATTCTTATAACATTAAGTTGATGAATTGATAGCTAGGTGTACAGGTAGGTATGTGGCGGTAGGAAATGAATACGTCACACATTATGTACTCACTGATTAGTACTATTGACGAGTAACACTTGACAGGAGTGAACTTCTTTGACGCCAAGAGATAGACAAAAAGCAAGACCGAGAGACAGTAATGAAATCGTTGATCGTTTACGGCCGTTTTCAATAACCTATCTATCCCTAGTTTCGGTTACTAAAGATAGACAAATCTATATTTTTGTCCTTACTTACGTTCCAATAACCTATCGACGGGCAGCAGTTCCTATCGGATTTATTTATCCATCGTCGGGAGGACGGATAGCCTGCTAAAGATAGAACGCTCATACAAATCGTGCTTACTTCCGTTTCAATATGAGNCTAGAATCATCGTCTCATCCTTTGTCATGGGTGCTACCTTTCTTGACTGAAAAAGATATATTTTCTAAACTTGAACTCAAAGTTTTCAAAGTAAAATTATTATTATCAATGTAGTTCATAGATACTTACAGAATTCATTTTATTTCACTGTAGCTCTTTAATTATAAACACACTTAGAATTATAAACGAAAGTTTTAAAGCGCTTTGGAGGTAAGTCATCATCTAATATAGTAGGTAAACAATAGAAAAACAAACAAAAGAAACTGATCACTGCTTATTGGCAAACGGACTGTCAAAACGTTTCGTTACATAATTTCGACTAGAATAAAAATAGCAATACGTCCAATTTAAAAAAATCTACATATGTTTTTATTACTTTTTGTTATAAACAAATGTGTTTATGATAGTCTACAATATGCTGGTTAAATTATAGTTATAATTTAGAATAAAATAAAATAAGTATTGATCCTGATGTTGTTTCGTATTTGTAGTAGAACGAAACGTATCAAGAGGCTCGGATAAATCGGAGGGAAGAAGCTATCTACTGTTGGTTAAAGAGAGATAGCACTTATCCGTGATTGTGAAACGCAAACTAAGGATAGATACGCTCTTGCTGATATTCAGAGATAGCTATCTATCCGAAAACTCCGATACGTTATTGAAAACGGCCGTTAGAGAGTACAGATCGTCGCATCGTCGTCACTACACACAAAAATTCACTAAAACCAATTTAGGGCCTTTTTTTTATTATTCAAGAAAATAATAAATAAAAATAACTACAGAAAAGGTGTGTTTAATTTCTGCATAGTTCTAGAACATTTTCCGCAACGTTAAGGAGATATGAAGATTATTTTTATTGTTTCGAAATATCGACAAATATTTGATGTAATCATCACCGGACCACAGTACCTATGCAAGGTCAATAATAGTTCTTATAATTACATTCTAATAGCAGTAATCACACTCAACCTTTGGATGAGTGGTTACTCCGTTCCGGGACTAGCCTTGGATCGGGCTGTTCGTTGACATTACTACATACATAAAGTCAGTAATTGAAAATAAACTATATGAATGTGAAAAACCGCCTCATGATTGAAATCGTATGCAATATACGACTGGCCTAAATAACAATTAGTAATATACGTAATTAAACGAATTAATGTTTTAATTACAAGCAATAAAACACATAATTCAGCGCTCCGTTATTGTTTTTCTTCAAACGCATTCAGGGAGAGTAATTTTATTGGCGTCTTAAAACATTCTTATTTTATTACGAATCAAAAATGAATTAATACGTTTCCCGAAGGAGTTCTGTGGTCGAGATACGACAAAACGTTTGTTGACAAAAATATATTCTGGCGCTCGTCCACGATCTCCATCTTACTGCCTTGTGTTATCGAAACAAATATTCAAATAATTATAAAACGCGTATTGAAGATTAAAAACTTTCGAAAATATATTGAATTTAATAAGACAATTACATATAAGCAGAGCAATCAATGCATATAAAAGAGGTCACATTTTTTCCTGCCTAATCGCTGGAAGCTTCTATTATGAAAGGTTTGGTAGATGAGCTCACAGGGCTCAAGCTGGGAGGACTTGCTAACGCTCGCCCTGGTAAGGCCAGTGCTTTCCTGAATCTAGTACTGGGTCCGAATCGCGGCTCACTGAGAGCCTTCGGCGAGAACGGTGACTGGTACTTAGGGGGCCGAGCAGAGAACAAAGCGCCTAGAGCGGGTCGGAAATACCCGACAGGACTGGTTAAGGAAGACGGCGGCTTTGTCCCGTCGTCTGGGTCGGAGATGGCGGAAGACGTTGCGGCTGCGATCACCCTGGTATGCTAGCAGCCTGCCGCAGAAAAACTACAACTGGACAATGACTCCAGGCACAGTACAGCCTTACCATATTTTTGAGAGGGTAGTTTTGTATATGATTCCATCTCGAATACATTCTGTGGATAACAAGTTTTTTAATTTCAAATTTGCAGTAAGGTTTAACACGGAACCCATTAAGTTTCACATAAAATTGTTTAAACATTGAACAACTAGCACAATTCCTTTAGTTTGAAAGTTGTCAGTTTGAAAGAGCTTCCCCTGGGCTGTCGGTATTTCAGAACGTTTTGTTTCATTTAAATTTCAAAAAAAAAAATAAGTAATCGCGTCTACAGAGAATTTTGTTATTTATTTGATAAAGAAACAGAAATTCGAGATCTTAACGACTTTCGAGTAAGCACGTGACGGAAATAAATTGTTTTATAAAAATGGCCAAGAAACCGAGATTATAATCTTACATGTCCATAATGTCGTGCTCCGCCCGTAACAGACGTTAGACAATAACTCTATATACGTGACGTGAATACGTAGCCTTCTGTTGTTTTAGTTAATTATTGAATTCATTTTTGTAAAGAACTAGATTACCCGGCAGACTTCGTAGTGCCTCAATCGATAAATAAAAGACCTAAAATAAACTTAAAACAAACAAAAGGAATCCGTCCGACGGGGGACCCATCAAAGGAAAAACAAAATTGTATTTTTTTAAAATTCCGAGCATTTTCATATTTAAAGCTTTTAAACCTTCTCTGGACTTCCACAAATAATTCAAGACCAAAATTAGTCAAATCGGTCCCGCCGTTCTCGAGTTTTAGCGAGACTAACGAACAGCAATTCATTTTTATATATATATAGACTTCTTTTAGTAAAATCTTCGAAGTAGCTATCGGCTAGTTAGCAGCACAGACATAGTGGAGGTTAGTTCACTCTTCCGAACTTCACGCGGAATGTGTTTTCCTGTGTTAAATAGCATTTGTTAGTTTTTAGAACGACAAAGAGGAGATCTTTCACGGCGCGGATGTTACTGCTGGGCAGAGCGAAAGTTCGAATGTTGTTGCACGGAACTTTTATTTTTATACATACAAGGTTTGAAAATGTTCATTTTCGCGATTCAAGTTTTTGCTAGACTCGTTGTTCTACTGTACGATACTCACTCGCTGCAGAGAACAGTGAAACTGTGTGTGTGTGTGTGTGTGTGTGTGACAATAGTTTAACATAAGTTAATAAAAATGTTATAGACCGTGTTTAAATCGAGTTCCGAATTTTAATTTAAATATTTGTATTTATAACAGACAAAATAAGTATTCGATACTCATCCGATTATTATGTTAAAAACATCCGTTATGTGTATGGTGGAATCGTATCATTAGCATGTACACCATGCACGTTCAAACCGCGACAACTCAATATAAATAAGTTTCTTTAGGTTTTATGGGCATTACAGTTGTGTGCTTCACAGACACGATCGCTAGATTTAGCTTAAATTTTTATTTGAAACTTTATAACTATAGCGGAGATAGAAAAAAACCTTATTTTTCTGAATTAAATATGCAGATCATTGTGGCATATGTAAAAT